TTTAGAGGTGAAAAATAACAGATTGTAAGAGACTTTAGATGATTTGCTAGAGGAAGCACAGTTAGCAAATATCGATAGTCTCCACTTATGGTTTTCAACTTTATAATAGTGTGAAAGTGATATTCATTCAGTAGAAAACATACTTGGAATTTCGAATTTTTATCTTCTCCTAGTGATATGTGGTACCATTCTCTTTTGCAATTCTGGGAGGCAGCAGCCACAACTCCCAGTCAGTTCTGTATTCAGGGGGGTAAACAACCAATACTCTACAGTGTCCTTCGTTCAGTAAATTACATGAGAGAGTCAACACTTAATTACTCAACAGGCTTTGTGTTAGATGAGTTTGCCCAACTGTAGCCTAATTGTAAGTGTTCTGAGCACATTTAAGGTAGGCTAGGCTAAGCCACGATTTTTGGTAGTTTAGGTGTATTCAATGCATTTTTTACTTATGATATTATTGTCTCATGGTGGTCTTGTTGGTATTTAATCCAATCCTAAGTCGAGGAGCATCTGTACCAGAATTGGGGCTTTATTGTAGGTCATACCAACTCTAACTCATGCTTTAAATTGGTCTACCCCTAGGCATTTTGGTATAGGTAGACAGCTTCAAAATCAGAAATATTAGCCCAAAAGTCACTTCCAGAAAAACTGGCTCTGACACAATTGATTAGCTAAATCTTTCACCTATGTGCTGAGGTAAAACAAGCTCCAACTTTGGAGACAAGGAGAACTTGGTGGTTCATATTCTGATCCCTTGAGCTAGTGACTTGAAAAAATATTTGGCTATTTTCTCATTTGTAAACTGAGTCCAACAATATGTGTCTTGCAAAGATTTTATACAAGCAAATAAAACAAAGAATCAAATACAAAGTATAGGTGTAAGAGATCTTCGCTCCCTGTAATTCTGACAAATCTCTAGTCTAGCACAGTTATGTACTATGTGTGATTCTGGTATCAAAGGCAGACACGACTGCTTTTGCCTGCTTCACCTCTGTTCCAGATGCAAAGTCATCTGAAATGCAAATATAGTAGTCTCACTATTATGTGGAATTAAAAAATTATAAAGAGTTTCCTCTTAAGGAAATATGAAAATGTTACCTATTACTGCACTTACTACTTGAAACTAAATATGATATAGAAGAAGGTGAGAAGGTGCCAGAAAGTCGTGGCTTCAAAGCAAGTGGTGATCACACAAAACAGCTGATGGAAGAGGGGACAGATTCATATGAGGTGAGCATCGCAGAGGAGCCTCCAGTGCCTTCCGTCACCTCCTCACTGCCCACTGCTGATCCAACCTCAGCTGCAGTGGACAGTTCTGAGCAAGTCCACATTCGGCTCTGCTGACAGTGCCCCACCTCACAGGCCTGCTGGGGTCTCTCTGCTTTCTGTTTTGGGGACATCTCTGATATCACATGGACCCACTTGCCCTGTTCACAAAAACAGCC